GTTTGTTTGGGGGATGGCAGCTTCAGAGAATGTTAGTCTTTTGTTTTTGTATTTTTAGTTTTCATTTCATATCTCAAATTCTGAAATTTTCACCTTACATAATGTTGTGTACAAATGCTGTGCATGTATGTATAAGTACCAACTTTTTTACTTGTGCTGGCTAATCATTTTCTTGATCTGTATTTTTCAGAATCTATACAAAACAGGGGAACTCACTCAATCCCCAACTCACCTCTGTTCTAGAGGGGTATGGCTCATCTGATATTCGGCCTTATTCATGAATTTTCATGTTGTTAAATTATAAAAATGGGAAGAAAGCAAAACGTTCTAGAATAACCACAACTGACAAAAGGGAGATGTTGAGGAAGCCCATATGATCAATGCACACTTGCACATGATCATGGCATGAAGCCTATTGTGAGATCACATATCTTATGACACATTCTCTACTTATTGGCATGTAATTTCTCTTAAATTTTTAGATTTAGTGTAGATGCCTAGATGGTCCCTTTTTAATTAGACATAAATCTTGTAGATACAAACTAACTTGAGATACCATGTTCCCATAATATCACAAGATCATAAATACATTACGTGAAAAGTAATTAGCACAATTCGATGATCAGTTTCAACTCAAATTCGTCATCTTTGATTGAAATTTCACAGCTTGAGAAGCGGTTGCATTTGAGTCGAGAAGAGTCAAGTATGCTTTTGTGCAAAGTTCTTAGTTAGGACTGTGAAAGAGATGGGTAGATAAAGACATCAATTCTGTGAAGGTTCTTTTTTCTTCATCTTCTAAGGTCTGTTTCTTTATTCCAAAACTTCCTTTGCTTCTTTTTTTCTCTTAACAGGTAGAGGAGAGAGCTTTAGATTGGCACAACTTTTAGCAGCTAAAAGGGATCTTTTGGTAATGGGTTTTTTCTGTAGGGACACATCTCTTTGGCAGGGTGTACTTTTGTAAAGAAATATCCCTCAACTGATGTTTATTCGAACAAGTATAAATTCCTTTAATAGAATTCATGTCTTATACGTAATTTTGATGGAGTTTCTTCATTTTGTTGTCTCTTAAAAAGGTGTTTTTTTAAATCTTTAAAAAAAATGAGATTAGGTCTCACAACTTTTTCCTTCTTCCGGTTTATTAATATTTTCTAACAGAAAATTGTGCATCCCGAAATCCTTCATATATCTAATTATGGAAGAGAAAACGAATGAAAATGCAAGAAGAAAACAAGCATCAATTATTTAATTATATTACAAACTCCACTCCAAACAATAGCGAAACGCACATTGCACAGCAGAAAAAAATTTAAAAAAACACAGATAAAATGGCAATCCCTCATGTGACCCAAGTGGTCACACTTCTCTGTGTGAGAAGTAGGGTGGAGTACAGCATATGATCATCAAGTCGACTCTCCGATTGGTACTCGAACAGATACTAATTTACTAATCATGTTTCTTACAATAAAAAAAAAAAAAAAAAGTATATGCATAAAAAAATATTGGGAAAATTATATTACAAACTCCACTCCAAACAATAGCGAAACGCACATTGCACAGCAAAAAAAAAAAAAAAAAAACACAGATAAAATGGAAAATTTCCCTCACTACAAGTTCTGCTTTGCCAAAACCTTTGTCATGTTGGGCACAGAATGATAAGGTGGTAGTCATTAGCCTCTAAATTCTGATTTTGTATCCTCTTCAATGATCATCACTTCCTTGTTCCTGCATTCGCAATGGACAGCATAGTTGCAGTCTGATTTTGAACATTTGAGGAACATATTTTCACAACGCTTGCTACAGTCATTACATGGAAAGTCGTCAAACTCTTCCTTCACAAAGGTGAGAGGGTGTTGATGAAAATCATATGTGGAAGTCAGCCCGAGCTTCACATATGAAGATCTCCCGAGAACACAAGAAGGATGTACCGAATACTTGCAAATTTCACAATGATAAAACCACTTACTTGGGTCCCTTGGTTCCTCACATATATCACAATAACATTGATCCACATCATGATCATCATGGTAAGTGAGTGCAAGAGGATGTTTATCATACTTATACCAGGTTGTATGCGGCAACACAATACATGTACGACACAAGGCAAAGTCACCATACTTGCATCTAAAACGACCATTTCTGGTTCCACAGCCACTGCATTTCCCTTTATACTTGCGGTGAAAGAAAAGAGGGTGCTTATGTCCTCGATCAGTAAAGTTTTCAGGAACTTCAAAGCATCTGATGCACATCATGCTTAAACTATATTTTGGCTGGTAGCCAAACCCACTGCTGAAAAAGCCACACCAATTACAGACAAAAAAGTGATTATAATGGAGAGTTAGGGTGGTTTTCAAACTCCATTGTCTTGTCTTTCTGGCTAAATCAACACAGCGCTTGTGGAGGGAGTAATCACATTCAGTACAATAGTAAAATTTTGTTGATGAGATAGGTTGTATGCAACCATCACAACATATATCCTTAATCTCATCACTAAGTATTAAGTTGTGCTGATGACTAAAGTGCATAATCTCAGTGGCAATTACATCCTGATCTCCACTACTCCTCTCCTCTAAATCACCAGTCATAGAAGCCCACTCATCCGATGGCATTTTCAAGGCTTCATTGGACTTCTTACTTTCATGTTGCACCTCAAAGTAATATTTTTCCGTTGCACAATTCACATGAACTAAGTAATCACATTGTAGACAGTGGTAACTCCCATACTCCAGATTAATTTCATCCCAACAAATTCCACACACATTGTTTCCTCCCTCATAGTTTGCAAGGAAATAAGTATGGGAAATTGGATGCTTATGCCTTGTTGTCTTGATCTTCTGTGGGAGTGAAATGCAATCCTTATGAACAGCAATGTCACATTCAGTGCATACATAAGGAAAGCAGTACTCTCCATCAATACCACAAGCATTACAAATGAAAGAGAATGGTTTTGATACAAGGACAAATGGATGCTCATGATTCAAACTTTTGATCACTTTATCAGGGAAAGTATACTTAATCATAATGCCAAACTCACAAAGAGAACAATAATAAATGAATCCGTTGTAAGCTTTGGTGCATAAATGGCAAGAACATTTCTCTGGATGATTTGGAGGTTTGGGTAGAAGAGCAAGAGAGTGTTTGCGGTGACTAGGGTGTTTGATCTCAAGGGGTAGCTCAAAGCATTTCTGATGAAGGAAAAACAAACAATCAAAACAACAATAAACAGGACCCGATATGGGCTCTTCACATGCAGAGCAAGATTGATCTTGGGGTTCAATGTAGTGGTTTTGAAGGAAGAAGAGTGAATCTTCATGGCTAAAATGTTTCAGCTTTGGAAAATCTCCCGTAATCAACTTTGGAAGCAAAGCACATCTAATATCAAGATCAAATTGACAAGAAGAACAATGATAAACAAATTCCTCATTACCTTTTACTTTTCGGCAGGAATTACACACAAATCCACCGGGATACTGTGACTGCTCGTATAGAATGAGGCGATGGCTCGGGTGAAAGGGATGATTGATCTCCCGTGATAGCTCAGCACAAGACTTATGAAGACAAAATTCACACTCTGAGCAGGTGTAGCTGGAACCCTCCACCACTTCCTTACATGCTGAGCAGTGATAAACTATACTAATCCAATCAATCTCCTGATCTTCCACTAGCACCAAAGGATGGGGATGACTAAAATGATTAAGCTTCATCTGGAGGAAACTGAGTCAATGAATTATGCTTTTAGCTCGAGTTGAAGGAGATAACACTGCGGCAATAAAGGAAGATGATTTTCATTTTCCCCTGTTCGTCCTTAATGATTGCTACCTAACTTTCAGAGTGGCCCCTGGAACTGATGTAACGGCTTAAGTAAATTTCGTAACCTCTCTATGGCCCAGGAAGTTAAAAGTTTCTGCCTACATGGCCCAAGATCTACCTTCTTGGGCCTTGGACCTGAACTAAAAGCCCACGCTACAGGAAACAAACGATTCATAAAGCTCCTTGACGCTTTTTAAAGCCTGAAGAGCGTGTGGCTTAACTTGGAAACAGCCGTGAATTTTAATTAAATAAATTAAATATTTTAAATTATAAATATTAATAATTGTTAATAATTAGACATTAATTATTTATTTCGAAAAGAGATTTAAGTTTTGTAAGTATATTGTATTTTAAATA